ATGTAGGCTAAAAATATTCCTTTAATGTGTTCTACTGTGGGAAATTAAATGTAGTGCACCCAATGGCATGTGCCCTGCAAAACACAGCCTGGGCAGCTCAGAGTGAATTAAAAAGTCCATCTTTGAGATCAAATTACCACCAAAGAGAAAGCAGTAGGAGGTGATAAAGTGCTAAGGTTTCTGGTACTATGGAACTATTTCCCCAGCTCTGTCAATAGCCAGAGGAATCAAATTTAGAGTCACTGTCCTTTCTGAACTTCTTTCCATCAATAAACTGGAGGGAAAGAACATCGGTGTCTTCTCCTTATCTTAACCCGGTTGATCCTGATGAGAAAAATACTTGAAAGAAAAAGGTTTTAAATGTAAGAACTTGAAGCACTGAAACAGTGAGATCAATACACGAGTGTAATTTTAAACATCTGTAAAAACTGGAAGAAAAAGAATATATTGTGATGCATGTAGGGCTTTGCTGCTCTAAAGCAAAGGTGGAGACTCCTCATGCACTATGTAAAAGTGCTGCAATATATCTGCCTGGCTTGCAGTTTGGACTGTAATTTCAACGCCATAGCTTGGTCTTTCCAGGTTTTGAAACTAAAACATGATAAAAATTACAGTATTTTCCAACAAATTGAAAATATACTTTACCAGTAGGTAGAACCTGCTGCTAAAATGCTATTATCCCTTTCATATCTTTAAACTTGGATAATAAAACTCATGGCTATTAAAAATATTGTGTTTGTGGCTATGGGTAATTTTTTATTTCTCCTTCTTTCCTCTTCAATGTGAACACAGAAATTAGTTATAAATCGTTGCTAGCAATCTGCTCTGTAGATGCATAAAGAAAGTAATTTTGGAGCTTGCCAAGCATAAATCAGGAGTGACTTTAATAGGGAGTTATCAGGCATGGCAGCGTGAGAAAGGCTTCATCTTGTTTTAATGAGAATGGGCTTGTACCTCCAAAAGCAGCAAAATTAGAACTCATGAATAACTTCTGGTGGAATATTTTCTCCTTGGCACCCAAGACAATAAATCTGCAGTCTCCAAGACTGAAGAATAATTAAATAAAACAGGCTAATTACCAGTACTTGGAAAAATTAATTTCCTACCAGGCACATTCTTTTATCTTTCTGACATTTTAAAATAAACTTGTCAAATGCCCATCACTGTGATTTTTTGTGTTAATTTTCCTTTTGCTCCTATTTTGGATTTCTTACAAAACCTTTGTTGTCCTATATGTTATATTGACCCTAAATACGTGATTCCTTAAACCTTAAATTACATGAGTGGGTTTTTTTGTTTGCTTGTTTGACCTTTTTTTCTAGTTAGGGATGGCCATTGATGAAGGCCATTGGAGTGTGATTTCCTTTTGATGGCACTTGTGGAAAGCATTAGTCATGATGTCTTAACCAACATACTTATTAATAAGGAAGTCTATATCCCAAAATGTTCTGGGATATTGACATAGTAGGGCTGAATGACTTTTCCAAAGGTATTTAGATATTCCAGTGATGACAGCTGACCACGGAAAAGAGAAAGCCAATAATTTTATAATTCTGTGGAATTGTTTCTCCCATAGTTAAGTCATGAGGGACTTAGGAGGGGAGAATAGGAGTTCCTGGAAGCTCTACAGGTTGTGCACTTGTTAAAGTGCCCAATGGACAGTAGTTTCCAAAGGTTTTGGTTGGGTGGTGATGAAGCCTAGGACGTACTGCTGCTTTCATCACTCCATGTCTTCCCTATTGTAAAACACAGGAGTCATAGCATTTTGATGCCTGTTCACACTGGTTATTTGAAGATGCTTATGCAGCCCACACTGTGTCCTCACAAAGCTTACTCAGCCATACCACTGGACATTTCAGCCAGCACATCCAAGAACAGGTAACCACTATAAGGACACTGGAAAGGCTTCCTTGACCAGCTCAGGCTTTAGACCTACATGAAGGACTGTTAAATAGTTCACTCCAAATTCCTGTCTATCAAAAGCCACCAAAAGCCTCCCAGCTATCCAGTCCTCTGTAAGAATTCAGCCTCAGTCCTTCACATATTAACTAAACTCACAGGAGTAGCAGGGTTCCTCTTTGCTGCGTGCGTTGGTTCACAGGTGCTCCTATATCTACACAGGGTATAAGCTGTTTGCTTGTTCTTGTTGACAATAGAAACAAGGGATGGGGAAGGGATTTACTTACAGGGTTGGGCCGTGGCAATGGGCTTTTTAAATAGCTGTGTGACTTTTGTCTGTGCATCTGGATTTGATGATTAAGCACTTTTTTTAATGATCAGTGACAAAGTAAATAGGTTTATTGCACTTGAGGAGCCCTCTCTTCTCAAGTGGTAGATGATTGCACCTACTCAAATCATTGTGATTAGAATGAAAAATCCTACTATTAAAAGGCCAGGGCTTTTCATCAATCTGAATGTTTTTCTTTTAACAACTCTGGCAGCACCAATGAGCCTTAAAGTGGGAGTAAATTATATTGGTATGTTTTAGTTTAAACATTAGTTTAAAGGTGTTTTTAAGCCAACTTTAAGGCCAACTGTTTGTAAAGGAGGCCTTAATGGAATTGGGAATTATGCCCAGAGCAAACACGTTCTCTGTTTGGCAGTGATTAGTAATGTGTTCACAATTTACTAAATATAGGGTAACCAAATACTAAGGGACTTAAATGGACCTTCAGGTAAAGCAGTAGCAGGTTTAGAAATGTACATTATTAAAACCTGAACCTGCTAACAAAGAAGCTGTAGAAGACAGTAAAGAGGCTTTGCAGAGATATCCTGATGGATAGTCAGCGGACTGTGGGATCACAGTTCTTGGGGGTGACACAAAGTCTTGGGTTGAGGCATTTTCCTTGTGGAGAGTTGTTGAAAAGCCTTCTGTTTGAGACATCTGAAACTGCAAAGAGGACAAAACACTGGGGATATATAGTACAGCACAAGGAAGCCAGCAATAGATGGAATTGCCTTAGCCTGATTTTCCTTCTCGGAACGTTTTAGGATTACTCACTTATTCTTTGCAGCCCTCACACCTTGTCACTAGGAAGGGCTTCTAGGTCATAGGTACCAAAGCAGTACCATGTTCTGGCTGCTGTTGACAGTATGTAAATAACCCTGTTTGTTTCTATGCCTGAGCTGCTGTGCCCTGCTTGACCCCCACGAACAACTCAGGTTTTCTGTGCAGTGATACTCACAGAAAAGTTGCATCTTTGCTTTGTCACTATGCTGATTTGCTCCCTTCCTGCACCACAAGTGTGGCTGGTGCTGTTAAATGTACCCCAGAGTTTGCCCTGTAAAGACTGGAGAGTCCAGAAAGCAGTGAACCTCTAGTTTCTGTGGGTCTTTCTATGAATTAAGGGATCCTAGTACTCCATGATCTCAGTATTAGTGACACCTGGATGTGTCTACTGCAGTCGCATCACTGTGTTATGCAAAGTCCCTTTTCTACCTTGATTTACCTCAATTTTTTTATCTAATGATTAGATTTTGAATTAACTTGAAGGCTGATTTGTTGGGTTTTTTTTTACTTATTTGCCAAGAAATGGAGATCAGGAAATGGAAACTTGGCAGTATCACCCTCCCCCTAAAAGTATTCCTTCCTTTCTCACCATGGTGGTAAATATTTGTGCATAGTTAATGAGAGAAACACTAATGTTATGAAGCTTCACTCATCCAACTTACATGTGCCACAATGACTTCATGTAGGACAAAAGCACGTTCAAAAGGGAGTAGGTGGAAAATCACTGCAGAAATATCCCAGTTTTTTGACTGTGTGAGCCAGAGTAACATCATGGGAACTACACTGTGTGACCAGGAAGAGTCCACTGTTGACAGACCTAAAAGCCTCATGGCTCAGAGAGCATTTCTGCTGAGTATAGTAGTCTGAACACTGTGAAGGATGGGTAAGGGTGGTTGTCAGAGTGCTTAGAGTGCATACATTACTTTTTAAAAAATTTTTCTAAAAATTTTTTAATTTTTTTGTATTTGTTTTAGCCGTAGTATAGCTTCATTGCTTAGGACTGGGACTCTGTCAGGGAGCTGAACTGCGTGTGTGTTGTGTTATAGGGGTGGAGACAAGCAAAATATTTTTCAAACAGAGGTGAGTGAACTTGTGCAACATGACAGTCACAGCCAATTACACAGACTTTGGTTTCAGAGGGTATCTTTTCCATTCTCAAACCTCATCTCTATTCAAGACAAAGGGCTAGGATATCATAAGGCAGTAGTCGTTGTGATATTAGGAGTGTAGCAAGAAGAGAAAAAAGGACAGGACGTCCTCAGGAGATCCATGATGGAGTGGCTGAGTCAGTGGGTTTCCAATCATCCTCACAACACAGTGGTTCATGACTGGGTGTCTGTGAGGATGGTGGGCTGACAGGGTTGATCCCAGTCCCCTTGTGGATTTGTGGGATCCCCTGTTTTGGTTGCAAGAGCCACAAAAATATGGATAAGTCCTAGGAATGTGAGGCCAAACAGGGACATGTGCTTTCACACTGCAACACGATGACCTTTATCTTGCTTGGTGACCTGAAGGGCAGTGATTGTTGTGTAAAACAAGCCTACAAGTAACCAAGAGGCTCTAGAGCCTTCTCTCAACCAGCAGTGACAATAACTATGGGGTGGCACAATCTCTGCCAGAACCAAGCACCACAAGGCGATGAAGACTGGACACACCTCACACCTTCTCCTCATGTATTAGAGGGGTTTTGGTACATGGTGAGAGACCTCTGTTTAGAGAGAGAGGTCTAGAAGGGGCTGAGGGCCAGCAAGGTGGTGCCAGATTGTTTGCATGGTGGTCCCAGTCACAGAGCATTTGCCCTCAGCTGGGGCTTGAAGGGTTTACAAGACAGTAGTGACCACCAGAATTCCATGGCTCTTTGACATTTATTCTTTGGTTTCCTTGCAGACTCATTAGAGCTGAGGGGACTTTATCTGAGGACTAATCACCACTGCATTTGCATCCTCCATTTCTCTGTAACGCTCTCCAAGCTATGTTTCTCTGTTTGCAGGCCTTTGCCCAGACCTCCATCACCACCATGACCCCCACTGTCCCGGCCACGACAGAGACCTACACACGGACCCAGTACTGCAAGTGGCCGTGCGAGTGCCCCAAGTCCCCACCACGGTGCTCCGTGGGCGTCAGCCTGGTCACGGACGGCTGTGAGTGCTGCAAGACCTGTGCCAGGCAGCGTGGAGAGACCTGCACGGAAGCTGACACATGTGATTTCCACAGGGGCTTGTACTGTGACTACAGCGGAGACAGACCTAGGTACGAAATAGGAGTATGTGCACGTAAGTGATGTACATATATTTTTGACTTAGATATACGTTGGCAGCTGCCCTCAGTCTGAGCAGTGGGTGAGGTTTATCTCATTAGATTACTGACTGCATGCTCATCAGCTTCTCCATGCATCATCTTCCATTCCATCATAGCTGTCTTTGTTCTCAGGGCAGGTGGCTCGATGGGAAATTACATCTGAATTCTTGCTCTTTGAGTTGGCTGCAGCCAAAAGCAAAGACCAACCAGCATTTGGAGGTCTCCAGATGTGCAAGTAGATGATTCCACATTCCCTGCAACAGAAGGAGGTTCTGTAGTGGGTTAGGGATGAAGGAAGGGTAGGTGTGCAGCTGGATTTAAAGACAAGCAATGTAGGCATCTACATGAAAATGATGACATTAAGAGGATGCTTTTGGCATATTCCCTATTGTGCATCCTTTGAAAGGATAGCACGTGGTATCCTGTCAAGAGGGCCAGGAATGAATCCTCTCCTATCAGAGCTTTTCAGTGACAAATTGAGGTCTGAGTCTTAATTTTACCGTGGTTACAGTCACATTAGCTGCCATGAGGCAGAAGGATTTCTTCCTGCCTATTGTAACAAACTTGTGGTTTCAAGTGACTGGAATGCTTTTACTCAAGCAGAGGAAGAAAAGTTAGGTAATGTTTCTTGTGCCAAGGATATGTTCACTTGTTCTGAGATCCAGAACATGAGTGAATCTGATTAGCTCATAAATGTCAAAAATTGCTGACACTCACTCCTCTGGGAAAGATTAAAAGTGAAAGGATCACAAGCACAACCACACAGATTGCTGATCAGAAAGGCTGTTGACTGTTTAGCAAGTTATTAGAACATATGGCCATGGCTTTAGGTATGTAAACAGGAAAAAGTCACTTAGAGGTAGGGTCTTCTAGGCTGGAACATAACCATGAATGATCTAAGAGGAAATCTAAAGGTGAAACAAGACCTGGAGGAGAGCTGGTTGTGAAATGAATAGATAGAATAACTGATCCATGGAAGAGGAAAAAGATTACAAACTGTGGGCTTCCATAAATTTAAAACAGCAGAAGTCACACAAGGGGCAGGTCTGAAGAGTGAAGCAGTTCAGGGAAGTTGACAGTTTCTCCCAGAAGTGATACTAGGTGTTGCTGTACCTCAGCAGAAGGATAGAAAGTGTAGTAAGAAATGACCTTGTCTTTGCAGTAGCTCAGCTACAAAAAAAAAAAAAGGCATGCAAAAAGTGCAGTCTAACCAGATTTTTTGCAGAATATGATCAAAATAACAACAAGAGAAGTTACGTGCAAGGAACTGTATGCTTAAACAGTGATTTTCAAGATTAGAAAAGATTAAGGTTAAGAAAAGAGGATATGAGATCATTCAAGTGTATTGTCTGGAGTGTGTGGGAGGTCTGTAAGGGCAGGTTAGACAAACATTGTCAAGAATGACATCGTTACAGCTGGCCCTGGGTTGGGAGAGGAAAACAGGCTTGATGTTGTCTCAAAGCTATCAGCCTTCCTAGAACTCTTTAAAAGACCTTCATGTTTCTTCACATTTGTTTATTTATTTAAATGCTTGCTTTCTTAGTTAAATATGTTTTGGTTTTTGCAGTCCTCCCATACATCACAGGCATTCAGTGTGCCTGTGGCAGCAGCACCACAATGTACTAAGATTGAGCCCCAGATTTTCCAGTGAAGTCTGGAGGGATTCCCAGTCTATGCTTTTTCATCCTTACTACCATGACAATATATTCCTTATTGTGTGACATCTGTGATTCTATGGTGAGGGGCATTGTGGTGTGCAGAGCTGCGGGGAATGAGAGGTAGGTCTTTCCATGGTTAGGACTGAAGCGTGTTGTCTCTGGCTGCCAAAGAAACCTATAGTCTTTCCCTTGCTTTCATCATCCAGGTAGATGCACAGGACAGGATCTGCTGACGTGTTCTTTCTTGTACCCTGGGGCACATATAGGCTGCATCACCCTACTCTCAGCCCACCAGGTTCTGTCCTGATCACAGGGTGAGTGAAGGCTCCTGTGAGTGGCACCTTGTTGGGTGTTGGGGACTAACTTCTGTGAGGAATTTGCTTTGCATACAGATGCTATTGCCAGGTCTACAAAACCTAGAGAATTCAGGGCATGCAGGGCTACAGAAACAATATAATATGTGGAAAAATAAAGATACTGAAAGAACTAGGAACTGGTTTTGGGAAAGGGAATGCAGTCAAACTGGGGGAAATTCAGGCTGTACTGTATTGGCGTGCTGAGGTGTATCCCAGGATCTAACCTCCCAGACACGAAATAAGAACCTTCTGGGAGTTACTACAGCTCTCCTTTCATTGTTGGATTTTCTCTGCACCAAAGCAGAGACAGCAGAGTGCTGAGCACACGCCCAGGTGGGGAGTCAGGCATTGTGCACATGGGGCTGGGATTAGGGATGTGCTTCCAAACTTCTTAATTTCAGACTTAGTGAAGTTCTGCATGAAGGTATTCAGCAATCCCTTTGTGTTTGGAAGTGTTCTCATGGTGAGCGTCTTGGTGTAGGAGACCTGAAGGAGGCTCAGTTATCGTAGTGCAGGAGGGATATGCTGGTAGGAAAACACCAGGAAATACAGCATTTTCTTGAATTGTTGTATTCCTTGTGAACACCTAGAAATATACCTGAATTCTTAGGTCCAGCACTGAGTGATATTTTTTCAATACAAAGGCTGAAGCATTATCAAAATTGGAGCTGAGGATGAACTGGAGATCTAGATCTGTGATTCAAATTCCAACAGCTCTCGTTTTGGTGCAGGAGAAGGAATTTGATGTTTTCATTCAGTCCATTCTAAAAATAGAAAGCCTTTGCAGAATTTTAATCCAGCGTTTCAGTTTGTGTTCCCCTGAAGCAGCCACATTGCTGCTCTGTTTCCCACCAGACTTAAAACATAAGTGATCTGACCAGTGCGTATGCACTGCCTCCATGTGACCAAACAAGAAACTAAACTTTGAATTTTCCATTGAAAGATTTCTGCCAGTGCTTCCCAATAACTGGCCATATCTTTGAAAACAAACAAACAAACAAACAAATACTGCTCTTTGAATCAATGTGATTCCTGTTCACAGGCAATCAAAATGTTTGCCTTTTTTTTTTTGTGACTTTGCTTAAAAAAATACACCAAGTAGTTATTTTCATGGTTTTATAATGTATACTTCATTTTCCTAGAGAACTATTCTGAGATAAACTGGGTAGGATCCAGTTGCCTAAATTTGGGAATCCAGTGCCATTTAGTTGCTCTTTTTCTACCTTGGTTGTCTTTCCTCCCCTACTTCAGATGGATACAGGTGGTGTGAAGAGCTGTGTCATATATGTGACTCCATATGGTCCCCTTGTATGTCTCTGAAAGTTTCAAATTTCGCTCATTATCTGTTTTAATTGCTTTGATTTTTCCTACTGTGAATAACTCCTACCACCATGCCATGAAATGATTTTTAAGTAAGCATTTGTGGATAAAGCTTGTTTTATTTTCTAACTTATTTTTCCATGAAGCATTAAAAGATTCTCTTTTTTTGGTGTGATTTAGAATGAAAACAGTTTTCTAGATGGTGTGACCACCCTTGTCTCAGCATCATGCTGAACACATCGCCCTGCAGCCCTGCCGTGTCTCCATGTTGGCTCTGCCAGCCCAGGAACCAGATTGGTAAAGGAACACATCAGAGCTGCTTGTTGCCAGCATTATTTTAATGGTGCTCTGTGTGTCTTTCTCTCTTTTTCTTTCTTTTCAGAGATTGTTGGTGTAGGATGTGTCCTCAATGGAGTCAGGTATAAGAATGGGGAGGCGTTTCAGCCCAACTGCAAATACAACTGCACGTGCATTAACGGGGCTGTGGGCTGTATTCCCATGTGCACAAACTCACGTCCTCCCCTTGTCTGGTGCCCAAACCCAAAGCTGATTAAGATGGCAGGGAAGTGCTGCGAGCAGTGGGTTTGCGATGACTCCAGGAAAATCAGGAAGACATCTCCGCGTCACATCTCCTCTGCAGGTATGGAGGCAGTGAGACAGACTTCTCCTTTAACATCAGGAAGCTGAAGACAGAATCTATAAGCAAAGTATCAGCTTGCACTGCCAGACCTGGCAGGTATCTAGTCTTTGTGTGAAGGAGGCACAGAGACTCCCACGCAACATGTGCTGAAGAACAGGACAGGCAAACCCATGTGGTATGCTCAAACTCCTTAGCAGCAATGTGGATATGGATGTCTTATCCCTGAAAGCATTCAAGGCCAGGTTGGATGGGGCCCTGAGCAACCTGATCTAGTGTGGCATCCCTGCCCATTACAGGGGAGTTGGATCAAAATGATCTTTAAGGTCCTTTTCAACCTAAACCATTCTATGATTCTATCATTGTGAGATTCACCAAAGATGCTTGTGTAACCATTCTGTGATTCTGTGTGACAAAGCCCCCTTTGAAGCATCTGCTGGAACTTTGAAGATATCACAAGTCCTTTTTAATGCTTCATCTTTTTTTCTTCTGTCTGGACCCTCTGGGAAACAGAATGGGTTCAATTTAATTTGGGACGGAGGCTTTCTGTCTGGGTCATATTGCTTTGGTATTGCAATTTTAAAGCCCCTGTATCTTAGTAGTCTCAAACTTATATAACACCTTGAAAGCAGTTATTGTGGTGGAAGTTTCATTGCCAGATGGGCTAAATTGTCTTTGTGTTTGTGTAGCTTTTCATCAGTTCTGGACTGATGATATTATTGAACTACCTATTTTGTGTATCACATAATGTGTCTTCTTTCCACACACATTTGTAGCCCACTGAACAGAGGTGGTACCATTTACCTCAAATATGGTCCCAAATGCTTAAGATGGACTCACCTTGTCATATGTGTCAAATTTATCCTCAAAATGCCCTGCAGTGCAATGTACTGCCATTAGCCACATTAGCTCCATATTTTAGACTATCTCACAAAGCAAACCTCAAGGAGATGTAGGATGCTTGTTGTAAACCAGGATTTTGTTTCCTTGGTGGTAAGGGATTTTTTCCCCCAGTCCTTGGTCTATATTTTTACTGCACAAAACAAAGCTTCAGTTTCCATTTTGTGGGTTAAGTCCACCAGAGTTTAGCCCTCACTTCTGTCCCTAGTTGCTCTGAAATGTGATGTAGGTCCAAATTCAAATAATCTACTACTGAAACTGGCCTTATATCTTCATGGCCTTTGTCCCAAAATGGGCATAACACAACTTTGCTTGCCTGACTTTCCTCTTGTAAATAGAATTCTTACAGAAGTACGACTAGCATTTATTATATTTAGTATAGTGATTAATATATTAATAAACATAACAGTGAGCAAGCTCAGTGCAGCAGTTTCTACCAGAGTTTTTCCTTTGGGCTGTCCCATGACCTGCAAAGCAGAGGGGACTTTGGCTGAGGCTGTGAAAGAACCTGAACTGGGGTTGTAGGCTGCTTTCAAAACAGAGCCCACCCTTCTCCAAATGGCTACTGAGCTCTCTGTGAGCTATTCAAACTGCTCTTCCTCACAGTGAAAGGCTGTGGCTGATTCCCAAGCCCTCTGCCATCCAGCAGAGACTGTTGACCACTTTCTGCTACAGGGAATCAATTGAACGGGCTCAGAAATAAACCTTCATGGTGAGATCAGATCTCATCCCTTTTTTCCACCCGCTGGCACAAGCTTCTGTAATTATTTGTATTGTGGCAGCACCTGGGGGTCCCAGACAAGGACCCCCTTGTGCGAGGCTGTGAAGGGGAATAAAGAAATGAGCCCTGGCCCTGAGCACTCACAGAGCTGAGGAGTCTGACACAAGTAGGTCAGCACAAAGGGGATGGGATGAGGGGCTTCACAGGAATGCTGAGCCACTTCGCTGTAGTTTAATTATTTGGGTTAGTGGCCTGAATCTGTAATGAGCTGGGGAGAGGGTCTTTAATATGTAAAGCTGCTTGGCTGAATAATGTGGGGTTAAACTCTCTCCACAGCCTATGAGGGAGAGGATGAAGCCTGGCAGAAGAACTGCATCATTCACACCTCACCCTGGAGTCCCTGCTCAAAGACCTGTGGGCTGGGCATCTCCACCAGGATTTCAAACGACAACGACCAGTGCCGGCTCCTGAAGGAAAGCCGCTTGTGCAACATGAGGCCCTGTGAGGTGGATATAACCCAGCACATCAAGGTGGGAAGAGTTTCTTTGTGTGCCCCTTCAGCTTTTGCTGAACAGCTTTCAGGCCTCAGAGGGATGCACTTCTACATGGATTTACTGTGCTACACAGAGTTCCAAAATGTGTCCTCTCTGTGCTTCCACATGCTGGTATGAAAACATTGCCTTGAGAGCTTTAGCTGCAGCCAAAAGGTCCTTGCAAAGGGGGGTAAGCAGAGCTTGCTGTGTGCAGTGCTGGCTTAGACAGACCTGTACTCAGCTAGTGGAAAAATAATGCTGAATGTCTGCTCGTGGCTGTGAACTCCATTTTGCAAGTGTCCTACTGGGTTCATAGGTCTAAACATGTAAATCTGTCATGGCCTCTAGGGATTCCTAACAGCTTCAAACCCTTTTAAATATAGGAATCATAGAATAGAATCATAGAATCATGAAAGCTGGAAAAGAAATCCAAGATCATTATGTCCAACCTTCGACCAAATACCACCATGCCCACTAGACCACATTGTGAAATACTATGTCTGCTTGTTTTTGAACACTACCAGGGATGGTAATTCCTCCACTTCCCTGGGCAACCTGTTCAAATGTTTAACCACTCTTTCAACCAAGAAATTTTTCCTAATATCCAGGCTGAACCTCCCACAGAGTAATTTGAGGCCATTTCCCCTTGTCCTATCATTATTTACCTGGAAGAAGAGGCCAAGCCTGACTCTGCCACAACTTCCTTTCAGGTAGTTATAGAGAGCAAGGTGAATTTTATGTCCTACCTCATCACTCTCTACAACTATCTGAAAGGAGGTTGTAGCCAGGTGGGTGTTTGTCTCTTCTCCCAGGCAACCAGCGGTAGGACAAGGGGGCATGGTCTTAAGCTGTGCCAGGGGAGGTTTAGGTTGGATATTAGGAAGAAATTCTTTACAGAGAGAGTAATCAAACATTGGAATGGGCTGCCCAGGGAGGTGATGGATTCACCGTCTCTGGAGGGTTTTAGGATGAGACTGGGTGTGGCACTTAGTGCCATGGTCTAGTAACCATGATGGTGTTGGATCAAGGGTTGGACCTGATGTTCTCAGAGGTCTTTTCCAACCCAGTTGACTCTATGATTCTATGTCAGCATTGAATATTAACCTCTCTTTTTTTTTATTTTCTTCTCTGATTTAGCCTGGAAAGAAGTGTTTGGCTGTCTACAGGGCCAATGAACCCATGAACTACACCATCTCAGGATGTGTGAGCAAAAGTCCATATAGACCCAAATATTGCGGCGTCTGCACAGACAACAGGTGCTGCACACCCTACAAGTCCAAGACTATTGAAGTGAGGTTTCAGTGCCCAGATGGAACTGAGTTTTCCTGGAAAATCATGTGGATCAATGCTTGTTTTTGCAACCTGAACTGCAGGAACCCCAATGACATCTTTGCCGACTTGGCTCATTACCACGATTACTCTGAAATCGCTAATTAAATTGGCTGAATGCTTGAATTGACCCATTGCTCTGATTTTACAGAGGTTTTAAAATAAAAGGACAATTTTCATCCACTGCCAATGTACAATTTGTTTTTTTCCTGAGTTAGGATGTTAAATATCCTTGTTTTGCCACACTGTTTTTGGAGAGGCCTTGAACAAGCAGGATTTTTAACTCCAATAGATCTTCATCCATTAACGGCAGTCAGGAATTCCTTCGTGCACTGATTCCAGGACTTAAATGACAGCTATGTTGGCACTGCCATTTATTAGGCCAGCAGTTTAATTGCCCAAAGGAAAGAATAGTGCACTAATATGACAGCAAAAGTATGCCTGTTAGCTTAGACATGAGATTCAGACACCCTTATTGTCATTTTTTGAACAATGTTGTCTAAGATGGAAAATTGACATATGTGTTTTATTTTTAACATTAGACATGAGGATTTGGTGGTCTGACCCTTGGGACTAAAGTCTAGTGTCTGTCACACTGAGATCAGTACTAGAACTGCCCCTCTGTCATTCTCAGTCAGATCCTTCTCCATGGTGAATTTCATGGGACAAGCCTAGGGGGAAGAATGTTTTTCCTGAAATCTCTTTGTGATGAGTCTGTCTCTCACTGCAATAGGCTGGGTCCAAGAACCTCTGTGTCCTGCTCTCCTTGGATTCACCTCAATCTCTTGGAGTATCTTGTTCCAGGGACATTTTCACAGTTCTCTACCTGCTCTGATCCTGAACAGCCCGAATGCTCTGAATCCAAAACAGCCATCCCAGAACTCATATTTTCAGTATAGATCCTCTATCCAGGGGTTATGTATTGCTCCTAGGCTAGCTCTGCAGACCTGAAGCATGAAATGTAGAGAGCCAGATGAGAGATGAAGGGGCAAGACCTCATGCACCCGTTTATTCACACAGAAGTTGTGTAGTCTGTGTCTGGGGACCACCACCTCCTCCTCCCCGTGGGGTTATCAGCAGGCAGGTCACACTTCCCACTGCTACTTTATCAGTGACACAAATCATTGTTTTACATGGCTGGGGTAGAGGAAAGGAGACATATGCTAAATGAGAAAGCAGACCTTAAGCTTCCCATCAGCTCTGTGAATGTGTGGATGTAGAAGGAGAGGCAATCCTTGTCACAGCTTCTGGTGCATTAGTTCCAACTGGGATGTGGCTTAGAGTAAACATCAAGGTAAAGCATTTTCTTCAGAAGTGGTTTCACATGCAAATATCAGCTAAGAGAAGAAAAAAACCTGTCATTACCCTTCTAAGCAATACATTTATCATCACTGAAAGGTGCTGGAGCCAGGGTTTTTTCCAATAAATTGTTAGTACAGCACCCATGCCCCATGGCACATTTGCTATTGCTTCACTTGGGAGAGCAGAAATGTGTTTCTGCATGGAGAACTGTAGTATCTGTTCCAAAATCCCTGATGGCACTGTAGAACTGATTGACACATGGTCTGGAGATTGGACCAGTACGAGGCTGAACTTGGAATGATGCAGGTGTTTTAAATTAGTCACTTATTTTGCTTTAGTTTCAGTTGGCAAGTTGTCTCCATCTTGATAACCCAGCGGAAGCTAGATTAGTTTCTGGGAGATATAAATCTTTTTGGCTATGATGAATTAAAAGTTCTCGTGAGTGGTCTGAAATTAATGTCGTCCCTATGTAAAGACAACTAGGAAAAATGCTGTGTATCTTCAAAAGCTGCTAACTCCAATAACATATTTGTTTGTATATAAGAATTCTGCCCACATGTTTCCCATAGAGTTGGGCCAATCCTCAATTCAAAGCGTTTATTATTTCTTTCTTTAAGCTTCCATGAAGAATCCAGTGGCAGAAAAGAAGGGTGATCCCTCTCTGCATGTTTCAACATTCTCTCCTCTTTGTTCCTCTGATGATAAGGAACCTGAAGCCACCAGTATTTTGCAAGATTCAGCCACATGACTGCTTTGGCCTGGATGATGTGACAGCAGAGGTCATATATGACCTATTCACCTCCACCCAAATGAGACCTCAGCATTAGCAAGACTGAGAACGTTACATTTTAAACTCCACCCCTTGGTAAAAAAGTGCCATGAGAACATACAAAAAAGAGGCCTTGGTCAGGAAGCGGAAATTATTGACAATGTTTTCCAAAAGGCAAAATGGTTTGTCATGAGACGTTATAGGGAAGGCATACTAGGATCTCTCTCTCAATATTTAAATGTAAATATTTAAATCTCATACTTAAGATCCCTTAAATATGGCTTGGAATCCTGTGTTCTAGTTCTTGCCCATCTTAAAATGTCATATATATGTGTGTGTGTATATGTACATATATATATATGTATACATACATATGTATGTGTGTAAATGCATCTATAAAAATATATACATATATATACATTTATATGTATATGCATCTATAAAATATTATGTGAACATAGTTATATAATATCATATGCAGTATTATACATAGAAATGTGGCCATGAATATATGTGTGTATATTTACATATATATATTCCTATGGTGCAGTCTTTGGTGCATAAAAAGGAGTGCATGTGTAATGTGTGTTTATATGTACAGTCTTTCTCTGTTTTACATGTACACATAAGGAAACAAAACCAGGATCAGATCATGTTCAAAAAACTGTGTCCCTCAACAGGCTTGCTTTGCTTTGCAATTAGCTAGTGCTGTAACCCTCTCAATGAAATGCTGCAGTGGCTGTAACACATGGCTTTCACTGTGAGATAAAAGAAGCTATTGAAAGCTAATGCATGACCAGCAGCTCCAGTGCGTGTCAGTTTTTAGTGAAGTGAATGCCTGGAAACCACAGATCTTGCCCAACGTACCGAAGATGTTTCTGTTTCTAGCCTGGTTTCCTAAGGAAGCAAGGCATATGCAACCCTACCATCCGTTTGTTTGTCTGTCTGTCAACCAGTCCCTTTGTGGGAAATGCCAAACAAAGTAGGCAGAAGTGTAAAGGTCTCAGAAGCGTTGCAATTCCTGCAAAAAAAATGAAACCAAAGAGCAGGACAGGGAAGAGGACCACCACATTGTCCCTGTCAAGCCCATGCACATCCGCCAGGCAGCCAGTTTGTCCAACATGTCTGCAGTGTGGCCCAAACACCTCAGCAGCAGTGTAAAGGGGTTTTGAACAGATGCACCAGTTGGAAACCAGCAGCCATGGAGGAGGCACAGCTGAAGCAATTACAGACAGGGAATAGTGGTTATTGCACTGCTGTAAATAGTGTAAATAGTGCTGTAAATTGTGGGGAGGTTGGACACAAATCTATAGGAAGCACAGCCTCATTAACTCTTCTGCTTTTACAACTCTTTTTCTGGTGACCCTGAAAGGGAAGAGCATCACCTGTAGACAGTGAACTTGACCTTCAGTCTGTGGTGCGTCAGAGATCCTTTGTTCTAACAGATTTAATCTTCTTTACAAGAAGATTAGCACTAGGACTAAGGCAACAGACCAGCGTTTAGATTCAGCTCCCTGGCTCCCTCTGTGCTTGGGCAAATCATATATCTTTATAAAAGCATTTTGTGGTTACTGTTTAAATATATTCAGGATCTAGATCCTCAAAGGCTTTCATGGATCCAGCCCTTGGTTTCACTTTTTCTCAATACTTCAGAGTCAGAACAAGACCTACTTACTGTTCATTGCCTCTGTTCAGAGTGAAAACTCTTCCAGCAGGAACTGATGCTCTCTGTAGATTTGTACAATGGGCCCAGGTCTCTGTTGGGACCTGAAAGTGATACCATAACCCAAGGAAGCAACAATAATAGCATTGAGGAGATACCAGGATCAGAGCTGGTGCTAGAACCCTCTGCTGCAGCAGTCCTGGGAAAGGGTTGAGAAAGGATGGGAGTGACAATTTTGCAATCAAGCCTAAGCCAAGACAGTTTGACACACATTCTGCTCACAGCAATTATCTTGTTAGACCTGTAGTCTGGGACAAGGATGGAGGGTGGGATTTTGAAGGTCTACTCCTGGTGGTATGAACAGCAAAACTCCAGTGAGCTCCAGTGTGCGTAGCCATTAGCCTTCTGTAGGGACTTCAACACAGTCAGTACAGTAGCTGAAGCTGCCTTGTTTGGGAATCCTAGAAAGCAGGTTATCCACTCAGTGAAGAAGCAGGCATGAAATTTATTCAAATACCTTTTCATGAAGCATTGGCTGGAAATTAAAACACCATTTTGGTGTGCATGTGATTGCAAACAGGGTGTAGTGCAGTTGCAATATTTTTGATGTGCTCACTAGGGTTGCGCTGTGTATACGTAAAACTCTAGGAAAAACAAAAAATTCAGAAACACTGTGTCATCTTGTAAATTAAACCCTGAGGTTTTTTTGGTCCAAGTTTTGTTGAAGGAGTTTTAAAACAAACACTTTATTAAACTGATATAGACAGTGCTCTCACTACGTAGAGGCACGTGTCCATACACATACCTACTGAAATTGTGACTTTTCCTGTTTTAACAGTTCTACACTTATACCTGTAAGCTTCATATACTTCATATAGGAAAAATTAATAGGAAAACCAGATTGATTTGGCAGTGTCAGCCTTAGTTACTCCAGCTATATATAACACATTACTTGTTCGTAAAGCATCATGGTGAAGCTTTTTTTGGGTAGCATGTTGCTGCTATGGTTTAAAGATATTAAATAACTTCGTAAGTAGTAAATGGTTAGTGAATCGATGACTGACACCTCATTTAGAAGCTTAGGCAGGCAAATGGAAGTGAAATATGTCTGCCATTGGCAGTTCTCTTCCTTTACTGATCTCCTTGCCTGGCCAATGTCCAAGTGTGCATTCACAATCTGTGACAAAGCCCTGAACTGGAGGACACATACAAATAAAGAGCCAGTAATATGGCAAAAAAGGATGATGTGGAAGTATCTCCTTCAGTGTGAATATTTTGTCAGCTTGGGAAAGCCAGGTGTTCCCCAACTCACATGTTCTTGTTTGCTGGTCTGTTTCTGGTTCTACATTTGTTTGGGTTTTTTTTCCCCTTACTGGACTTGGGACAGACTTCTAGAGTACCTGAGCAAAGTGGAGTGTGTTCTCAACCTGCCTAAGCATGCCTTTGTTAG